AAAACATATTAATTGTTTTTTTGTATTGGCTAAAATATAACTTGTATTAATAAAGATCATGAGTAATACCTCACTCTAACATTAAAAAAAAATTCTAAATATGTATTCATAGCTACTCAGTACTATTTTTGATATATTGTATATTGGTTTTAATATTTATTTTTGTTTATCATTTAGATAGTTTGATATAAGCAAATTGGTATTAAACTTATTAGTTAATTAATTGTATAAAAGATATTGTTGTTTTTTTATATAAAAATTTTAAACTTTTACAATAAAATAAAATAATAATATTTACTTATTTTTAAAAAAATTTATATATTTTTTATAAAATTTATTTGTTGATTTTATATCAATTTTAAGAATATTTATATATTAAAACTTATTATAAATAATAACTTGTTAATCAAAAATTTTTTATTAATTAAATATTCAATTAAATATTTAATTTTTTATAATTATATTATTTTCTATTATTTTCTATTATTTTCTATTATTAGTTAATACTTAATATATTGTTTTTATTTGATATATATAATTTTTTTTATTTAATTTTTATTTTAATTAAAATTATTTTTATTTTTTAATACTATTATAATTGATTTATAATTTATAATTTATATTATATTCAATTAATAATTAAAAATAATTATGTCATATAAAAATAAAACTTTTAATAATTATAAAATTATATTAATAAAATATTATATATTATAAAGTTTTATTAACAAAAATTTTATAAACAATGATTAAATTAATTAACTTTAAAAATACAAGTTATATTTTAGCCAATACAAAAAAACAATTAATATGTTTTTAAATTAATTTATAAATATTATTATCTTATATAATCTTTTTATAGCAATATGATTAAAATTTATATTTTAAGTTAAATAATTTAAATTGATACCAAAATTTTATTCTTTAGTAAATTTAATCTGATGTATTGGTTTATTAAATTAATATTGACTGATATGGTTAAATATTAAAGATACGTAATTTAATATAATTAAACTTATAGTTAATAAAAACATTGATATGTATTAAATTGTTAAGATAGAATAATATAAGCTAAAAGTTTAATAACATTCAAAATATTCATCAAGTTATTTTAAAAAAATTATTATTATAAGTTAGTAATATTAAACTATTTTGAAAATTTTAATAATAAGTAACTTATATATTTAGAAAATTTATTAATTTCTCAATTCAAGAAATTATAGCACAACTACTTTCTTAGCTATATTTGAAAGTCGTATTTTTTGCTTTCTTATCACTGAATAATTGATAAAGGCATAAAAATTTGGAAATAAATTAACCTTTACTGGTCAGTATACAGTATGTGCCAATCTTCACATATACAAAATACAGTATAAACAATTTTCGATCTTCAATTTATTGATATTAAAATATGACAACAGATTTTTCTTTTAATAAAACAAGCAATAGTTTATAACAATAATTTCAAAAAAAATCAAGCAATAGTTTAGAATAATTTCAAAAAATCACACATCCTAATTTGTTGAATAATTCCTGAGAGATTTGTTTTTTTTAAATAAAACAACTTAATGATATTTTTCGTCATATTTAGAAGTAGAAATGTGTTGGCTATTTTTTGGTATGGTTTTTTTTGTGACGGAGGAGATTACTACGTGTAGTATAAGATTTTCCACATCCTTCAACTTGACATGAATATGCTAAAAAGTTTATTTTCTAGTTAACATATATTATTTTATAAGTGATAAATATATAATTTATTATGAAAATTAGACTTACGTCTTTCCCCTGTATGAGAGTTATAGTGAATTTTTAACGCGCTCGGAGACTGAAATACTTTACCACAGAAGTTGCATCCATGTTGTTTGGTTAAAATGGAACCATTGATTTCAGTTTGATAAGATTTTAAGGTTAAAGCACCTATCGAGTCCATTAATCTTGCGTCGGTTAAATGACCTATTAGGACAGGATATTTTAAATCATTAATATTAAAAACCCAGCCTTGATCTTCAACATAGAAGGTTTCTCCCTGAATATTAGAATAGTATAATCTGTAAATAACTTGATTATTCATAATAGAGGTGATTTAAAAAATTGGCGATAAAATTTATTTGGCTTTGACGTTCAGGTATTAGGGTATTTATATATATTAACAGGAAGGTGTGGTCTTATCCTTATTGTATTTAGAGTTATGAATGGTTATCTATATGTAACAGCCGTTTCCATAAATAGTATTTTATTAGGAGATTCAAAAATCAAGAGTCATTTACTCTAAAAGATTGTTTGTAATCCAAACCTAATAGGACATTTACAGCACGTAGTGCATATTGTGAAACATACTATCTACCTGCTATAGCCTTGCCATTCGAGTTCTGTAACAAGTCAGCATGTATATCTCTTTTAAGATCGCTCTGACAGTTATCTATTCTGGGAAGGCAACTGCATAATATAAGAAAAAGCAAAAAAGACAACGAAGGCGGCGAATCTAGTCTCCACATATTTTGTGATTATTGATTTTTTTTTTGTACGATTGTCCGAATTACATAAAATTTACCGTGTACTACTCACCATACTTCTATTAATTTATTTATAGTTCTAGGGAACGGGATCCGCCGATTGCCGAGAAAATCATTCTGATCACGTGCGCGAGTAAACAAATCTTGTATTTGAAAAAATTCGAACTGTTTTTCTAAAAATTTGCCGATTCTATATATACTGCATAATATTTATAATTCAATAATAAAGAATCAATTGATTAGATAATAATTTTAACCATTATTTTTTTAAAAAACATATTTTCTCTTTTAATTATAAAAATTCAAATCAAAAATGACTTTGTAAAAAAACCAACTAAATTTATTTTCATAAAACCATAAACCAAAAATACAGTATCTAAAAATATTATTATTTCGAATCACTTAATGAATTTTCTCTTAATAAAATAATCGGAAAATTTGTAATATATAGCTTCAAATTCAAATTTTATTTCATACAATTAGATAAAACCATTATATTACTTTAAACTGCATATACAGTAAAAATTAATTGTCATTTTCAGTTAAACTGACTCTACTTTAATCCAAATATGTAATATTATGATAAAAAAAATCGTAATATAATGATTAAAAAAAACAATCTTTTAATATATTTAATCGTGTTTATTTAATATCCAACTAATGTGATCACTCTCTTCCTTTTTTTAATGATACAATTAAGCAAGTTAAACTTAAGAAAGACGTGATTTGAAAATTTGCGTATAACTTAAATGCTATTTACAATACTAATAAGAAATTATGTTAACACGTGATAGACCAAGTAAGTGCGCCAATTTAAAGCATATTTCAAACCATCAATAAAACACCTTAAATTATTAAATAAAGTCCTAAAGAATTTGTATTATTAAATAAGATGTAATTATAATTTTACTCACGTTATACTGTATATACAGTGGATAAACGTATGCATCTTCTCTAGTATGTAATAATATGTGGCTAAGATTTCAACTTGACACGTGATGCCAAAAATGTGTAATTTTCTAGTTAACATGTATAATTCTGAAAGTAATAAATATGTAACTTTCAGAGCGTTATGGGAAGGGTCTTTTACTACTAGACAAAGTAACAGTAATTCTGTCTGTTCGAGCCAACAAGATTTTGTGCGATACAATAATGTAGTATAGCTAAATACTATACAATTACTAAAATTTCAAAAAAGTTTAAATAAAAAATTATATCTAAATAAATTCAATTAAACTAATTTTAAATGTTGTCTGTTACATGAAAAAATATGATAAACTAAGAATGCACAAAAGAAGAGAAAATGAAACTCCAGACCAATTCAAAAAGAAAATGAATATTAGAAAATGATGAACAATATGAAATACGTTTAGTTAACGATAGTGAAAGAAAGTAACATAAAAGATCCATCTTAAAATCAATAGATAGGTATCAGAGCCATCAAAAGGAGGTTGAATTAGAAATAAATTCATTTAATATTCAACAACTTACCCAATTTGATCGTATACCCTTGTAAAATTTTTGCTGTGAAATTAATAAACTTAAGCATAAGTCTTGTCCCATCGGTAATTAACGATTCTTGTCAATTGAATTTGTATGACGAAATATAACACTAAACATTATAAACATAGTATAATGACATCACACATAACGTTGCTTCGTACCCACAACGGATTCTGTTTTACTAGTGTGGGAGTGGATGATATTGGCGAGGCGTTCGATTTGACCGAGGTAAGTAATTTCTCTTTATTAATTCACTTTAGTCACCACTATCTACCTTTTATTTTAAAGAATAAATGCTAACATTTTATACTTTTTTACAAGGAAAGTTTAGGAACAATTTGGAAACATAACGAAAGGTAAGGGAATTTCTACTACTTTCTGGCGCTATTATCTAATCTAACACTAATTACATCATTATTATTTCGTTACAAGCGCCGGTTTCAGATCTATTTTTACCTTCCTTTTCTTCTCGCGATCCCGGGTCGATCGTCGGTCACGTGACCCTAATCGCGTTACTATTGTTTTTATTCTCCCTCTCACACTAGGAATAAATAATTATATGTGTATTTTTAACCATACCTTAACTATTTTACTATCAATATTTTCTTTTTTTTATATACTGTATATTCATTGTTTGTACTCTGAGCGTTCTCACAAACAGAAAGAACAAACACTTGCATCTAATTAACATATTAGAGTGAAATGACAGATAATACGAAAGTTCTCACACGGATAAATTATTTTTACTATTATCGTTACAACTGACCTGGCGGTCACATTTTCATTACAATGCCAAAAGCGTTATATTGTGAAACTCATGGAAAAAATATATACTACATTCCAACTTCACTATTACATGATACCATATTTGTGCAATTGAATGTATCATAGAACGATTGGTGTCATATCATTTAGAACTCGCAATTAATGTTGACAGGAAAGGTTACGACAATTTCTAAGTAAGTTTATTGGCTTATTAGTATTACTTGACATAGGAGGATATTATAAGAAAGTATGGTTTCTTATTTAACATTATCTTGAAATATGAAAGAATTAACATCCAAAAGAGTGGCTTAACCGATTCGCTAAGATCCGTCGCCCGCGAAAAAAGAAAATGTTCAAAAAGAAGGTAGTATCAGATATGCATTGCTCGGAAATTTCATCATCTCTTTTAGCTTGCGCATGAATGTCAATTCTGGATTTGTGACCTGTGGATCTCTTAAAAAAAACTGTGTCTCTTATGTTCTGGATAACATCGTTTCCAGGGTGTTTGAGAAAAAAGGCAACAATTTTCATTTGTGAAAGTTTCGTGCTAATCGTAGTACAGTTTTTTTTTTTGGCAACGTCGGCTACCCTTCTTACTAACTTTCTGATCCGTTAATTCGTTCAGCAAGCACATCCGCAAATTTAATTTATTCTCACATCTCTTACAACAATTGCTTTAAATTTGTTGGTTTTTTTCTTCTGAGAGGAGAGAGACAACACATTAACATTACATGTGTGCCCAGCTGGGTCAAATGTAGATCAATATCTTGTTATAGCATATACTGTATAAAGATTTTCACAAAGATTATTGCCACGGTACAAAAAAATCCACGACGAAATTCCAAAACACCTACAGTATATGTGCTTAACATGTAAAACAATAAGCATATATACATTGTACATGTTATGTGCAGAAAAAAAATTTTTTTGGTTAATAATACAGAAATCAAGAAATTTTATAAAACTATACGAGCACCATGGTTCTTCTTAGACAAACTGATGTAATTAATTAACTCTATTCTTTTAACCACTTCTACCATGAGTAATCGAATTATTTATAAACTACACTATACCAATAGTCTAGGAAAAACTTTCTATATTGACGATCAAGGTGGAGTTTATGATATTGATGATTAAAACTGCCCCGTCCCAATTGGTCATTTAACCGATATAAGCCTAATGGACTCGATAAAAACTTTAATATTAGTCTCCTATCAGGTTTAAGTTTCAACTTCTAGTCCTACAAAACGACATGTGTGCATTTTCTGTGAAAAAGCATTTCAGTCTCCGAGCGCGTTAAGAACCCATAAAAACTCTCATACTGGGGAAAAACGTAGGTCTAAATAAATTTTTATTTAATACATTTAGGGTAATAGAAACTAACGAAAAAACATGTTTTTAGAATACAGATGTGAAGTCGAAGGATGCAGAAAAATTTACACGACAAACAGTAAAACATAATCAGAGTGGAAAGTAGTCACGTTATACTATATATCTATTGTAAAATGTAGTCAAATAATACCATTGTGCCTCTTTTTTATCTTATTACAGTACTATTATTCAAATAATGAAATGTACAAGAGGAGTAGTTTAAGGATCTATGTACTACGGGCTCTATGCTCCAATCAAAAAAATTTTTTGACAGATGGTACAATCGCCGAAAGACTTGCCAAACTAAGAATTTATTTGGGATTTTTCTTTGTTTTTTTTTTTCTATTGCCAAACTAAGAATTTATTTAGGATTTTTCTTTGTTTTTTTTTTCTATTGCAAACTGTAAAAAAAAATATAATATAATAAAAATAATAAATAAAAATAAAATAAAAACAGAGCATCAATTTCGGTTCGCTAATCTCCGATACAGACATGGATTGAAGTATTACAGTTTACAGAGTTAATTGATAATTGTATCAAGTTATTTAGCGACAGACTCGAATGAAACTTTCCAAATCATGTATGGTATCAATGGTTATTGTATAACGTAACGAACGTGAACAGACGTCAAGAACAAAAATTATAATTAATGATATTCTCCGCGCATGAATACTATCTGATTGATTCCTCATTATCTCCTAAGAAGACCACGAAGTGTGCAAGAGAATTAAATTACACAGAACATAGATAGAATGAAATTTCTTGAAACTTCTTGTAATCAAATATCCAAGGAAAAATAATAACTGCATTGAATCGAGGTGGTATATAACGCTCAACATTTCATTGATGTACGCTCAGGCTACAAAAGCGTCTCTAGAGTCGGATGTTAATTCCCATTGTATGCGGTAGGATACAGTA